TACTACTTCCCCATTATCAATACAAGTAGGAATAATCGATTACCCCATCCATATTCTCTAAGGTGGTATTATTACCCAAACTGGGCAAGGGGTTCCTTTTAGAATTTAGGTTGAGGGTTTAGGGTTAAGGGTTGTAACTCCAATCCTTGCCTAGTTAGGTGTCTGGAACCACTCAGCCGCATCCTAGGACAATCCAGCCCCAGATCGCAAGTCCAACACCCCACCCTAGGATAGCCTCCTAAGATCTCAACCTCAGCGTCTCCACTCAACACCCTGCCCTACGATATCCTCCCTAAAATCTCAACCCAAGACTCCCCCTGTCCCTAAGACTCCAAATCCAACCCCGCGACTCTGAGGACAACTACATAGCCAAGGCCAGACACAAGATCACGATCTGTATAACCTACGGCTTCTCCACCGGTGCTTTGTTTTGTATACAAAAACATTTTTACAAAAATAGTAAAAATACACCCTAATTTTCAAAAGCAAGGGCTTCAAGACGATTAGCACACCCAAATCGCAACACAAACGTTGGAAAAACCTATACCAAACAAGCGAACAACAAAAAACACATCAAAATAAAAACCAGAAAATCAAGTCAGCGAATGGTTGGGGTTTAGGAGCGCCTCAAAACGCTAAAAACACCAAAATCACAACAAAAACATTGGAAACATCTACACACAGACAAGCAGAAAACGAATAAAACGCCAAAATCAAGTTTGACAACTCGGGTGTAGTGAACTTTTAGGGTTTAGGATGAACACCAACCATAACATTATAATATTAATAATGTTATGCTTGTTTAATCCATTAAGTCAAACTCGGGTTTATTCAATAGTGTTCCAATAATTTTGCTAAAATCATACGTTGTAGCATTAACATTATATTTCATTGTATATTGTATCCACGTTTTATTTCTTCTTTGTCTCTACAATACATCATTGTATCAAATAACTGTTTAAACATGTTGTATCTCTTCATTGTTCTGTTTGTGAAAAGGTGTTTGACTGAATCATGCATCGGAAACAAACGATCCAAGCTTAAAATAAGCTTATCAACATCATATAAACATAAATCAGTGGTTTCAAGTCGCTCGTCTAATACTTCCTCTATTCCCATGGTCTTTTCGCATGTCCAACACCGATAAGCAAAGCCATAGATATTATTAATAATATTTTCTGGCAGTGGTAATTCGTATAAAGTGCAATAACGATCATGTTTCTTGCAATCCTTACATTTACAACTACCCCGTTTTTCTTACTTTTCCTGATGTAATCGCTAACCTTGACAACATCCAAAAAAGCATTTATGATTTCATCCTGTTCTTTCTGAGCGAGCATTTTCCTGTTAATATATATATATATAGGTGTTATTTCTTTAAGCGTTTTCTTAAGAAAATTCTTCTCAAAAGAAAAATTAAACTTTTAACAACTCAAAGCATAAATACGCTCTATCGTTTCCTTCAACATAATAATATTTTTGACCCAATTGTTCATCTTCTATTGTGTAGATGTTTTGCGACCAATTTGAAACACGTTCTTTTTCATTGGGTTTCCTCTTCCTAAATATTTTAACTTCATCACCGACACTTAATTCAGGATATACCCGATTTCGTTTAGCATTCATATTTAAATGCAGTTTAACTTTTAATTCGTTGCTCGGTTTTCTGGCATCCTTTGGGGTGAAGCCAGTTGCAGAATGCTTCATTCCATTATTATATGTTAGTAATATTTCAAAAATATAATCGTCCACTGAATATCACCCTTACCTTTTTCTGATCGGCTTCAACACGACGATATAATAAATCTTTGAACGTCCTAATGGCTCTCTCGTTAAAATTTGGATGCGCCCTAGTTCTGTGATGTTCTATTCATGTAGCAGTAGCATCTATCGGTGTTGCAGTCGCGACGAAGACTCCCTCTTTCACCAGCGGCCCAATCGCTGTCTTAATGCAGGCCCCGGACTAATGAAAGAACAGATCAACGACGATGACTACTATTAAGATCCCAACATCATCCCAATTCAGGGGGGAGGAGGAGGAGGGGGACCCATCACCGCTACAACACTGACATCATGAGCCTCCAAACCTAAACCCGAACAATGACACTAAACAGCGCACCTGAAGAACTGCATCGCTTAAACCACAAGGAAGGGACGAGCAACTCATGCCATTGCCCTCAACACTGGATCCTAAACCCTAAACTCCCGATGAACCCATGTGAACACTCAGCATGTCCTCGATGTCCTTTTGCAGCACTGCCGCAGGCGGTTGCAGTTCGACTTTTTCGAGCATCACCTGCAACACTTCATCCGGGCCCAGAGGGCCTTGGAAACTTGGTGTTAGCAGCGGGTTTCGAGAGGCTTACAGAGCTTAGGGTTCGGTGATTCTGCGGCATTGTTCTCGAGGGTTCAGGTCTGGGGCTGGGGGGTTTTATAGGGCCCCATTACAGTACAGGCATTCATTACAGAGGCCGTCTACACCCTATCCCAAAGCCCGAAGCCCGAATATGTAGGGGATGTGGAGCTGGATTGTTCGCAGAAGCTGTCGAATTCATTCTGAGCCGGCTTCAAGTTTCGGGCTCCCTGATGGTGGGCGTGTCAGTGATTCGAACCTGCGTTTGTGTGTCGAGGTCTTGGGTAAAGGTGCCTCGGAAGCATCCGAGGCTCCGAGGCCTTGGCTGCCTTTTAAGATCCCAAGACACAACAACAGGTTACCTTGAGCTCCTGCACGGGCTGTCTGCACAACACACCTACATAGGTTTACAAATAAATACACAGATGGATAGACAGCCAGGTAGCTGGGTAGATAGATAGATAGATAGGTAGATAAACAGATAGATAGATAGATGCAGTGACCATCACTTGAATGCAAGAGTCAAGCCCAAGAGGCCATAAGGCCTCCTTTAAGGTGTTCGGTTCGTACTCTCGCATTGTGTCTGGCCTCGGCACGGGTCAAACATGGGTTTGCGGCTTGGGGTTGAGATCTCTTCAAAAAGAGTTTCATACAGAACCAAGGAAACTGATGGTGGCTTCCAAGCCAACCAAAGAGCGCGGCACAAACTGGCAAGAGACCACTGTTCTTACCTGTGCTCACTGAGGCACCGTATTCTATGTGCAGATATTGCTGTTTCACTTCTACCGACCCGGACTTCGGTCCGCAAGCAAGAGACCAATGTTCGAATACTACTTTCACGACTCACAAACTAGTACGACTGCGAAAGTGCGACTATGACGACTACGAACTAGTACGACATAGCACAACAAGTACGACTAGCACTGCTAGTGCGACCAGAACTCGTGAGAGTACCAAGACTACTGACTACCACTGCCACCACCACAACTCATAGTTTTTGCTCATATTACTGTGCTTGATTCTTTTGTTGGTGCGAGGAAGGTGGTCATTCCCGATATGTGAGACTGCTGCCACAACTGTTGATCTCGCAGTCTTCTTCTCAACACTACTGTTTTTTTACTGGATCTTCTCGGGGAAAGTACTGATATTGCTACTGTTGGCTATTCTTGCAGTTGATGTTGCTGCTAAGGTCATCTAGTTCGTAGGAGGCCAGGGCTTTGAGCTTTTAGCATCGCAGCCAGGATAAGAACTCTAGTTCTGCTGATTCTGATAACAGCTATCAAGCAAGCACACCAGGACTCATTTGTGCGGTCACCATCCACTAGTTACACGCCCAAAACATCTAAAGCAACCTTAAACCCCTAGACTTTCTGCTGTGCTTTACTGCAGTGAGCTTCAGCCGGAAGGGGTGACCAGCCCTGCCATAGGCCCTGGGCTACCCACGGGTACCAGTAAGTGCCGGACGATTTCCCCAGGCATTTTGTCTGGCCTTTGGGGATCATGCACAAAGCTGGCAGCCCACTTGAGTTCTTTGGGCTCAAGGCGAAAGGCTGCTTGCTGGGGGCTTTGATTGCAAGCCGCTGCGGGTATTGGTATCCGACAGAAGTCTAAGCAACTGAATAAAAATGCTCTGAGGGGATAGGGAGCTGGCCCCCAAACAGCACCAGTCGGAATGCCAAATGCCTACATCGTAGACTTGATGCTAAAAGTCTTCGTCTGAACCAACACGTTCTTTGCATCTTTACACGCGATGGGGCATCTTGCGGTTAGCACCAACCCAAATAACTCAAGCAGCACCGGGGTGTGCGAAAGAAGAGAATCCCAAGCCCCTCACCGACAAAGGAAGGGCTGCAGCCCCGCACTCGCAAGCTAGAAGAGAACCCTAAACCCTGAATGCCTCAAGGTTGTCGGGGTAG